AAGAGAGGGACTGAGAGATAGTGGCCAGGAGGCAGACTTACAGAATATGCCCTTTGGTGGTGTAAACTATTATATATGCCTGAGTGTTTTTATTTAAAAAAAAAAAAAAAAAAGAGCTAAAGTGAATAGAGAGAAACACTGTTAACTGATGGTAAATGGAGGGGAATGTAATCATTAAGATGAAACAAGCTGTATGATTTGTTGAATGTAAAACTGATGATCTGCCCTGTAAACTTTCACTCAATCCACAATAAAAATGTCAAGGAAAAAAAAGTAGAGGACAATAAGTGCTAGTGAGGATGCAGAAAGATTGGGACCCTCCTACATTGCTGGTGGGATTGCAAAATGGTCCAACCACTCTGGAAAACAACATGGCGCTTCCTCACAAAGTTGGAAATAGAAATACCTTATGATTAAGCAATTCCTCTTCTTGGTATTTATCGACAAGAAATTCAAGCCATAATACGAGTATTGTCAGGAGGGACCAGTCTCTGGAGAAGGATATCATGTTTGATAAGGTGGAGGGTCAGAGAAAAAGAGGAAGACCCCCAGCGAGATGGATTAGCCAAGTGGCAGCATCAATGGACTCAAGTGTGGCAGCAGTAGTGAGGTTGGCCCAGGATCGGGTAGTGTTTCACTCTGTTGTGCATGAGGTCGCTATGAGTCGGTACTGACTCGATGACACCCAACAACAACAACAACTAGATTGCGTATATATCACAGTTATAAATAGATCCTACTACATAGGCTTAAGGAGCTCTGGTAGTGTAGTGGTTACGATTCGGGCTGTGAACCTCAAGGTCAGCAGTTCGAAACTACCAGCCTCGGTGGGAGAAAGATGAGGCTTTCTGCTCCTGTAAAGATTTACAGCCTCGGAAACCCTGTACAGGGTTGCTATGAGTCGGAACCCACTCCATGGCACTTAATAACAACAACAACAACAAAGGCTTAGGAGTCCACTGGACTGCAAAGTCGTTTGAACTGCAAGGTTGGTGGTTCAAGCTCACCAGGTGCTCCTCAGAAACCCTATACAGGATCACTATGGATCAGAACCGACTCAACGGCACTTAACAACAACGACACAGGCTTAATCATTCCCCATCAATTATTTGTTGTCCTTCTATGTTGTTGTTGTTTAGTGCCGTCGAGTCAGTTCCGACCCATAGTGAACTGCACAGGGTTTCTGAGGCTGTGAATCTTCACAGGAGCAGAACGCCTCATCTTTCTCCTGTGGAGCAGCTGGTAGTTTCGAACTGCTGACCTTGAGGTTCGCAGCCCGATTTGTAACCACTACTCTACCAGAGCTCCTTGTCCTTCTATAGCCCTGAGTTAACCTCTAAAAGAATGTACATGAGCACAGGTGCCTTCAGTATGGATTGCATCTCAGTGTAAAGAAAACAAAAATCCTCCCTACTGGATCAATAAACAACATCATGGTAAATGGAGAAAAGATTAAAGTTGGTAAAGACTTCATTTTGCTTGGATCCCTAATCAACACTCATGGAAACAACAATCAACAAATCAAACACTAAGCAAACGTGCTGCACAAGACCTCTTTAGAGTGTTCGAGAGCAAAGATATCAGTGTGAGGGCTAAGGTGCACCTGACCCAAGCCATGGTATTTTCAGTCACCTCGTATGCATGTGAAAGTTGGACGACGAATAAGGAAGACTGTAGAAGAATTGATGCATTTGAATTATGGTGTTGGAGAAGAATGTTGAAAGGACCATGGACTTCCAGAAGAAAAAGAAAATCTGTGTTGGAAGTAGTACAGTTAGAATGCTCCTCCGAACTCAGTTTCATGAGACTTCCTCCCTCATACTTCAGACACGTTGTCAGGAGGGACCAGTCCCTGGAGGACATCATGCTTGGTAAAGTGGAGAGTCAGTGAAAAAGATGAAGACCTCCAATAAGATGGACATGGTGTCAGTAACAATGGGTTTCAACACAACAATTGTGAGGCTGGTGCTGGACCAGGGACCGCATTGTTCTGTTGTGCACAGAGTTACTAAGAGTGAAAACCAACTCAACGCCATACAACAACATAGATACATGTTAGAATATCAGAGGGTAATCTGGCCTTCTTTGAGAACTGGATGCATTAATTTGTTTAACAAATTGTTGTTCCCATTATATGGCAGACATATGTGCGCAATTTTGTCCTTCACACCAGTGACCATCCATGACTGCCAGGGGCCACTCGGACTCTCATCCACACACTCGCCTCTCCCAGATGGGGACTTTTCTGTCTCCATATATGGGCTTCCTCCCTAGGCTGTAAATTCTGTGCCTCCAGCTAGACTGGTAATATTTATCGTGTGGCTCTATTACAATTTAGGCTACAGACTATCTTAATCTCCTAATGCTGTAATGGAAATACCACAAGTGGATGGCTTTTAAAGAAGACCAATTAATTTTCTCATAGTTCTGGGGACTAAACATCCAAATAGGGTCTTGGTCCTTGTTGGCAGCCCTGCACCTTCCTTGGTTCTTGATGATGTTCACATGGCGCCTGTCTTCCCAAGTATGTGCTTGTCTCACTGTGTATTCTGTTCCTCTTATAGCTCAGAAATGATAAGGTTTAGGACCCACACTATACTGATCTAGCCTCATTCACATAATAAAGAAAATTTTGTTTCCAAATGGAATCCCATTCATAGGTATATGGGGGTTAGGATTCCAGCAAATATTGTGGAAAACAATTCAATCCATGACATGGACCTCTTCACCAACTACAGCTGCATGTGAGCAGGAATCTGTTCTGCTCCACACCTGAACACCTAGACCATGCCTGGCACTGAATGGGTGCTAGGTAACTATCACTCAGCACCTACCATGATGACCTTGACACAGGTCAGGTCGCTGACCCTAGTGGGTTTTGACTGAGTACAGAAGGCGAGTCATTTCTGTCCACCTCTGGGGTTTGGAGGACAGGCTCTGGAAATGCTAGGGTTCAGAGGTGAACACTCTAAGTCCCAAGGGCTTGAGGTAAGGCGTGTGGGCCTGTACTAGTTTCTTTTACCCTCAGATAAACTCCATTTTGTGGGAGGGGCAGAAGCTGAGGATGAAAAAGGTTAAGCCACTTGCCAGATGGATTTCAGATTTAAGACTTGTTTTACATTTTGGAGAAGGTAATAATAGTCCTGGTGTGGCACTGTGGGATAAAGCACTGGACTGCAAGGTCAGTTCAAACCACATAGTCAGTAGTTCAAACTCACCAGCTGCTACTTGGAAACCCTCTTATAGGATTACTATGAGTCGGAATGGTCTCGATGGCACTTAACAATAACAACAACAATATGGTATCTATGCCATCTGTGATAGTTAAGGTTTTGTGCCAAGTTGACTAGGCCAGGATTGTCAGTGGTTTGGCAGCTGAGATGTAGTTATTGCCACAATGAGATGAAATACAATGCAATCAACTCTATGATGATGTCTTCTATGAGCTGCCAATCAATGGAAAGGGAGTTTCGTCGAGGGTGTGGCCTGCTTCCAATATATTGGACACTCAGGCAAGACTTGCTTGCTCTATGCTGGGTCTAGATCTTCCATCTTGCTCATCCTCTGACTTCTGATTCTTTGGACTTGAGCCAGTGGCCTGTTCTATTCCCTGCCAATCCTGGGAACCATCAACAACCTGCCTTCTTAACTGCCAGACCTGCCTGCCTGCCTGCCTGCCATCTTACCTGCCCATCTTGGTTCATCTGACCCTGACTTGGAACTCTCCCATATAGGGTGGGTCCTCTTTATATAAACATACTTAAGTTTCACTGGTTTGACTCTGTAGAGAACCCAGCCTAAGACACCATCTATCATATTCCTCTTCAGCTGGAATCTGGGCAAAAATTTGTATTGAATCTGTCAAGATGGTTGCAGTAAATCATATGAACAAGCACTCTGAGAGATCTAACTCAGACTCTCAGAGCCCTATTTACAATAGACTTTCCCACCAAAGGGTTACAAAACATTTTCTAGCTTTCTGAGCTTTTTGTAAATGCAGAACACTTGGACGTGCGTCTATTCACAACATTCAAACAGTAGTAACAATCTAAATGTCCAACAGATGAATGGATAAACCCAATGTGGTCCATCCATCCAATGGAGTAGTACTCTGTCATAATGAGAACTCAAGAACTGATACAGGCTACAACGTGAACCCTGAAAACACTGTGCTGAGTGATATTAGCCAATCACAAAAGGATGAATGTTGTATGAGTTCACTGGTGTGAAATGCCTACAACAGACATAGGCATAGAGGTTAGAGCTGAATGTGAGTTAACAGGGCAGAAGGAACTGGGAAAGGGAGAGATCGCTGTGAAAGGAACACTGAGAATGGAAAATCGGGCAACAGATAATGGTGAGCGTTGTCCAACATGACTGATGTAATTGGTTTTATTAAATTGTAGTTGTTGTTAAGTGCTGCTAAGTTGGGTCTGACTCATAGTGACCCTGTATAGGGTTTCCCAGGAGCCGCTGGTGAGTTTGAACCACAGGCCTTGCAGTTTAAACCGACCTTGTGGTCTAGTGTGTATCCTACGGTGCCACACCAGGACTCTTAAATTAGACAGACAAAACCTACTGAATTGGTAAATGTAGGTGGCTCCATGGGGTAAGTGTGGGACTACTGACCGAAAGGTCAGCGGTTCATTGGGGAAAGAAGAGGCAGTGTGTTCCCATATAGATTTACAGTCTCAGAAACCCTATGGGGCAGTTCTACTCTGTCCTATTGGATTGCTAAGAGTAGGAATCATTCAGTAGCAGTGGAATTGCGATCTTTATTATTTTGATAGCAATTTTAAGATAAGAAGAAGGAGGAGAAGAGAGTCTTAACACAAAGTGGGCACTATCACACCTGGCAGGCATTCGTGCCTCCAGTTAAGACTCTGATACCACCTGAGCCCCTCATAGTTCTTCCCTTCTTTTCCTCCCACAAGGTGAGCTAATTCCCACCTCTCTTCTCATCCCAGAAGGTGGCCAAGCACCTGCAGCCTCCTGCTTACCAGTCGGTGTAGGCATTGTCAATCACCAGTAGGACTCTGGGCCTTTGAATAACGGGTGTGGAGGGAGCTGGAGGTTCCACCAACCCTGTCGGAGCCTGCGAGGTGGGCTTCATGGCACTGGAGAAGGAACTGAAAAGGCTGGACCCCGGGGAGGAGAAGGAGGCGGCCAGCGGCTGGGCTCTCCTCTCCATGGCCGGGGAAGCGGGGGAGCTGCTGGAGCTATCAGGGCGCTGCAGGTCCGTCATGTAGCCATTAGGCAGGTTGGCCACAAAGCTGCTGTCAGACAGGCGTCTCCGGAGGAAATTCATGGCTGTTGGTGCAAATGGCTTGTTCCTACCCAGGCTCGGTTTAGTGAAGCCCTGAACACAGGCTGCCTGGGAGTGGGGCTGATACAACTTGGGGGCCGAAGAAGTAGGGGATTCTTGTGTCAACAGAAGTCCACGTCAGCTGCCTTCACGTCCCTGTGGAAAGAAGCCAAGGAAAACATTAGAAGTACCGAGACCTGCTCCCTTCCTGGGCAGACAGATGTGGCCTTTCCTGCCCCCTGCTGGTAGCAGTGTACATTGGAACATCCATTTGGAAATCCATTGGGCTTAAAATATACATATTCTTTAAAGATATGGAACGAGGAATATCATGGCTAAAGTCAGATGAATCTTGGCTGAAAGCAGAGAATACCCTAAAGATGTTTACCTGTGCTTTAATGACTATGCAAACGTTTGGTTTTTGTTTTTTTAATGTTTTATTGTGAATTATATGATAGTTTACATGGGAGAACATTAGTTTTACATTCATCCTATCATATATCATTTCATTGTCATGGTTACAATCCCCTCCATGCATCATCAACCAACCAAAGAGTATACACTACAAGCCTGCCTCCTGGTCATCAGCACACAGGCCCTCTCCCTCTCTGTGTCTGAAGTCCCCAGCTGCTCCATCTCTCCATGCCATCGTCTCTGCCTCCATCTCAGGCATCGCTGCTTCTCTGGGTAGGGTTCTGCTCTCCGCACTTCTTCCTTGATGGTCCCAGGGACCTCCGCTCCTAGACTGAAAAGTTAATCACTCCCCTCTTTGCTACAAAACATCTACCGTTACATTTCCAACTCTCACAATCAGTCCTGATAACAATTATTCACTATTGTATCACAAGAGACCTATCTTCATTTCCTTTTATCAGCCCCGCCCAGACAGATTGGCTACTACTCAGTGGAGATTCTACCTTCCTTCATGCCTTCTGGATCTAGGTTCCCTCTCGAAAGCTTGCATGCAAATGTTTTTGGCTGTTGGAGTATGACAAACTATGGATAACATTTCAAAGACTGGGTATTCCGGAACATTTAATTGTGCTCACGAGGAACCTGTACATAGACCAAATGGCAGCTGTTTGAATAGAACAAGGGAACACTAAGTGGTTTAAAATCAGGAAAGGTTTGTACCAGGGCTGTATTCTTTCACCACATTTTTTCTGTTTGTACATTGAACAAATAATCTGTAGAATAATTTAGCATCAGGATTGGAGGGAGACTCATTAACGACCTTCGATATTCAGATGATGATACAACCTTGCTTGCTGAAAGTGAAGAAGATTTAAAACACTAACTGATGAAGAGCCAAGAACACCGCCTTCAGTCTTAGCTGCACCTCAATTGTAAAGAAAACAAAAATCCTCACAATGGAATCAATAAACAACATCATGCTAAATGGAGAAAACACTGAAGTTGTCAAAGACTTCATTTTGCTTGAATCAATCAACACTCATGCAAGCAGAAGTCAAATTAAACAACACATGGCACTCGGCAAACCTGCTGTATAAGACCTCTTTAAACTCTGGTAGCGTAGTGGTTACGAATCGGCCTGCGAACCACAAGGTCAGCAGTTCAAAACTACCAGCTGCTCCCAGGGAGAAAGATGAGGCTTTCTGCTCCCGTAAAGATTTATAGCCTTGGAAACCCTGTTCAGGGTTGCTATGGGTCGGAACCAACTCGACGACACTTAACAACAACAATAACAACAAAGTGTTGAAGAGCAAAGAGGTCAGTTTGAGGACTAAGGTGCCTCATACACATGTGCAAGTTGGACAGTGAATAAGGAAGACTGTAAAAGAATTGATGCATTTGAGTTATGGTGTTGGAGGAGAATATTGCAAGTACCATGGGCTGCCAGAAGAACCAACAAGTCTGTGTTGGAAGAAGTGCAGTCAGATGCTCCTTAGAATTCAGGATAGTAAGACCTTGTCTGTCATAATTTGCACATGTTATCAGAAGGGAGCAGTCCCTGGAGAAGGACAGCATGCTTGGTAAAGTGGACCATCAGGGAAAAAGAGGAAGACTCCCAGTGAGATGGAATGGCACAGTGGCAGCAGCAATGGGCTCAAACGTAACAATTGTGAGGATAGCGCAGGACCAGACAGTGCTTGATTCTGTTGTGTATACGGTCACTATGAGTTGGAACTGACTTGAAGGCACTAACAACAACAACAAACACAAGGTCAGCTGTTTGAGTCTACCAACTGCTCCTTAGAGAAAGATGAGGCTTTCTGCACCCTTGAAGATTTACAGGCTCAGAATCACTATGCAGGGTTGCTATGAATTGAAACAAACTCAACAGCACACAGCAACAATGCTGCAATCAAATAAATTTAGTAAAAATCACACTGCAAAATTATATGTAGAGAATGACTTAAACCAATAAATAAATAAACTCACTGACACTGAGTCGATTCCAACTCATAGTAACCATGTAGGGTGATAATCTATAGAAACAGATTGCCGTATCTTTCCCCTACAATGCAGCTGGTGGGTTCAAATCATTGACTTTGTTGACTAACTGCAGAGAGATTTAACCACCGCACCACCAGCACTCACAGAATGACTGTTGTTGTTGTTAAGTGCCGTCAAGTTGATTACGACCCATAGCGACCCTGTATAGAGTTTCTGAGGAGCAGCTAGTACGTTTGAACCACCGACCTTGCAGTTCAAACGGCTTTGCAGTCTGGTGCATTCACCCACAGTGCCACACCAGGACTCCACAGAATGACTACAATCATGTAAAAACTGGTATCACTTTGGAAAGGAAAGACCATAAAATACTAACAGTAATTATATTTGGACAATATGATTGCATCCCTTGTTTTCTCTTCTACTGTCTACTTATGTATACTTCCCAAATTTTCTAAATTACAATATTTATTGGTTTTCTGAATAGAATCAGATAAATTTTTAAACATTGTTCACTTATGATCAAAATATCCCACTTAGAATAAGGATTATATAAATGGTGTGATGCTGTAGAAAAAGCATAGGATAAGCACTGGACTGTTAATCACAATGTCAGTGGTCCAAAACCACCAGTCACTCCTGAAAAACTCTATACAGGGTTGCTATGGGTCAGAACCAACTCGACAGCATTTAGAAACAACAAACCATGGGTTTAAACTTCTTTTCTATTTTTGGTAAGAGTGCTTCCTATTTCTATTGAAGTAAAATTTACTAAGGTGGAATAAATAGTTCTTAAGTATATAATTCTGACTGATGATAAATTTATACACTGGGATAAGTTTTATTCTATTTAGAACACCCCTTTCTGTTCAACTTCTTGTCCTTCATAGGCCAAAACTCTTCTGATGTCTGCCACGATATGCTAATTGCGCCTGTACTTGAACTTCATACACGTGTACTTGTACAATATCCACTCTTTTGTGACTGGCTTCTTTCTCTCAATGGTTTTGAGGTTCATCTATGTTATATGTAACAATTATTCTGACTTTTATTGCTGAGTAGCTTTCCACTGGATGAGCAAATCACAATTTCTTTTTTCCGTTACTGTTGACGGACATTTAAGAGGTTTCCCGTTTGGGTTAGGGGAGGTCTTATGAATAGAATTGCTATAGTGATTTTAAAACTATTTTTGTGAGAATACAGAATTGACCGGTTGATCTTTGCCTTAGGAAAACACTTGGAAATTAATCAACAACGCTTAACAACAATATTCTAAAGCCAAAATAAAAAACTCCAAACCTACTACTGTTGACTTGATTTCAACTCATGGCAACTCTCTAAGGCAGAGAACTGCCTCATGGGGTTTCTAAGGCTGAAATCTTTAGGGATGTAGACTGCCTCATCTTTCTCCTATAGGGCAGTTGATGGGTTCAAACCACCAATCTTTTGGTTAGCAGCTTAGCATTTAACCATTGCATCATGAGGGCCCCTTTTGGCCATTCTAGTTAAGTGCAAAACAAAACAAAATTAATTAGCGACATTTGATCTGTTTGAAATCTAGTAAATCAGTGGCCACTTATTTCCAGTTTTTCCCATTTAAATATCTTCATTATCATTTTGTAAGATCTTTTGGATTACTGGCCAAAGCTACTAGCTAAGAAAAAAAAAATCTTTGTATTTCCCAAACTGACTGTAATTACTTTTCTCTGACAATTTACCCTTTTACATATATTTCAAGACTCAATCTAATAACATTTTGTTGAAGATTTTTGTGTCCACATGCATGAAGAAAATGGGTCTATAGTTTTCTTTTTTGGTACTGTCTTTGCCAGGTTTGGGTATTAGGGTAATGCTGACTTCACAATGTTAGGAAGAGTTTCTTCTTCATCTGTTTTCTGAAAGAATTTATGTAATACTGTGTGTTTTTTTGTTTGTTTTAATTATTGGTGGAATTCACCAGTGAAACCATTTAGGGCTTATGTTTTCTTTGTGAGAACATTTTAAATAATGAACTCAATCTCTTTTTATTTTCTTTAAACTTTCTGTTGTGAAATGAGTGAAGGCTTACAGAACAGATGATTAGTTTTACACTCAATAAATGATGCACATCGTTTCATCTCAATGATGGCCATCTCCTCCACGTAACAACAGTTATCACACGTCCTCTCTGTGGTTCTTATTTCCATTCCACTCTCCTTCCCCACTCTTCTGAACTTTGTCCTTAGATAAATGCTGCTCTTTTGATCTTGAATGCTGACCATTCCTTACCAGTGCTGTTGTCCCCACTATCTACCTATCTACTGTTTGATTGAAAACTGAGCCATGAGTGCCAGTTCAGTTCCTGTCCTGAAGGGTGCCTAAACGAAGGTCATATTCTCAGGTTCCTTCAATCTCTTTCTGACCAGTAAGCCCAGTCTTTTTTATAATTTTAAGTTGTATTCCACATTTTGCCCATTCTATCAAGGACATTCTAATGTGATCCCTTTCAGAGTACTCGGTAGTGGAAGCCGGGCACCATCTAATTCTTCTGGTCTCAGGGTCATGGAAACTGATGTTCATGGACTCACTGATTCCAAACGGCTTAATTTTCCATCACTCTTCTTACCTCCACACAGGAAGAGAATAATAGTTGCACCTTAGAGGGATGCTC